ATCAGTGCACCCATTGTTTTTATATACTGTATCATATCAAACTAGTTTTGTGGGATGGTTTAGTCAGGGATCATCCTGCCTGGAGCTGGGGGCTGGATTTAGATGACTTCATGAGGTCCATTCCAGCACTACTAACATCATATAAAATCAAAGTCAGGGGTCCTCCCACGCCAAGTCTTGTGTGCCATTGACTACAGAAAGAGTTATACAGCCCATATAACTGACCATCTTTGATTCCCCAGCCCAAATGATCAGCTACCTGTTTACAGGTAGGTCAACTGTGGCTAGCTGCCTTGGACCTAAGTCCAGAGCAGGGCTCAAGTTCTTGCCTGTGTAGCTGTAGCAAGTTATCTTAACCTGCCACTACCACACTTCACATTATATTAACTATACCATATTTTTCACATACAATCCATCCCTTTCCCTCCAAAATAAGCCCCTCAAAATTGGGAAATTTGTATTAAATGGGGAAGCTGATTTTTGACTGGCATAAAAGCACCCTGTTTTGATTCCCATTCCACAATGAAGCAGTCGTTGCATTACTATTTAGGCAACTGAGCGAGTCAATTGACTTAATGGCTCATTGCTGTTCACTCCAGTGGTGTTAAGGAAAGATCTCCTTTTTAATGGTTTTGACAGTCCACTAATCACGATAAGCTTAGGGCAGTGTCGCTGTCTTTTAGCTGTTTCTGGTCTCTCTCCTATTTTACAGCTTTGGAGACTTTTGAACTCTTTTCAGAATCACAGTAACACCCATGAAGACTAGTCTTCAGAAACATCTATGGTTTTAGCTTTAGTTAAGCAAGAAAAGGAGAGTGAGTCACCTGAAAAATAAGCTCTGTCCCTATCTTTATTCTTTTTTTCCTCCATTCTACTCTTCAAAACAAGGTACATATTATATTTTGGGGTGTGTTGCATGTGAGAAAATGTAATAATAAACAGTTGTAACGTTAATTATGTTAGATTTTCATGTCAAGCAGCTAGTATACTATCACAAAAAGGGAAATACTTAGGACAGCAAGGCCAGGTATGTCTGAAAATCCAAGTACACTGGGTACTAAAGAGCCAGGACCAGTAGAAAAAGGCAGGTAAAAGAAGTCTCTGTAATAGTATGTAACAATACGAGTAGGGACCTACCCAAAACAAAGCAGCACATGGACAATGTCATGGGTCAATCAGGGTGCCAGCCACCATTTTTGTGGACTTATCATAGTGCCCTCAAAAAAACCTGATTGGCTAAGGGGTCCCAGTGGCCCCAGCCCTTGCAGGTGATTGGCCAAGAATTCTGCCTTTTGCGTGGTCCCACCCCTCACTCCTGATTGGCAGAGATAGGTGGGGCCACACAAAAAGCAGCTCTCTCAGCCAATTAGCAGGGGAGGGAGCAGCCACCATCTTGGCTTCTGCCCTTCGTGCTGGCAGCTTCTCCCTTCCCATCGGGCTGTGAGGCTGGGTTGTAGCAGCTGCTGGCGCTTACTGGGGAGACACAATGCAAAATCGCGATTTAAGTAGGTCCCTAAATATGAGTATCTCCAGTAACAGCAAATCCTTCCAAATCAATGAAATAGAAGATCTTTTGTAGTTGTAAGCACAATCAGACATTGCCTGGTGCAGTATGTCCTGTTTTCTACATATCTCAAATGTTATCCAGAGCATTTGTTCTTCTTTTATATCCTTTAGTGACAAGAGAATGTAGACACTGTCTCATAGTAATCTGCAAAACTGTCTTACCAATAAAAATAGCAATACAACCCTTGCCTATATTTTTGTCTGTTTTCTGGACATTTACATTGATCTTACTATGCTGCTTGTAGGAAATCAGGAGTTTAAAAACTTCCTTATTTGAAAGGACCCAATAGTTTAACTGTTACAGTGATGTACAAAAATGAAAAGGTTGTATCAAACAGGCATGTTTGTGACACCCCTGATTTTTACTCAAAGTTTTAGTGTTAGGTTCTGGGCTTTTCTTTACACCAGATAACTCTAAGTACTAATGTCACTGATGTGCTAAAAAAGGCAGCATTCACGGCCACCGAGGGTCTCCTAACTGCAGCTGCTGCTGAAATGGCTTGCACTTACTGTAATTTTATTCTCTCTACAATTTAACTGATTTAATTTAAAAAGTTAAAAAAAACCCTCAGGCAATCCTCTAACAGTTGACACCAAAAGAGGAGTGCATGTTCCATAGACCACATCTTGTTTCTTGAAGCAAAATCGTCAAATTCAGGCAGCAACAACTGAACTTCTCCATACACAGTATATAGTTAAAACTGCAGAACTGGAGCCAAAATATGCACAGCTAAAAGGAATGTTACAGGGGGCCTCTCTTAGTGAACAAAGCAGGCTCAGTTTGGCTCTTTTTCCCTAGCACTACCACATCCGCACATCGTTAGTTGGAAAATTCCAGATATATGCTGTAATTTTTTGTGCTTTTTTTCCCAGTACACTTGAGGATTTAGTGTCCAGATGCCATTCCTCCCCCCCCACCCCTTTATCTGTCCCTGTTAGTTTGGGTCTTTGCCAGCTGTGGTCAACAATTAATACAGCAAAAGAAAAATACAGTACACTCCCTGGCAATTGGCACAGTCACACAGGAAATACCAAATAAAAACTTTATTATGCATTGTTTAACTATTTTGTTTGCCTGTAGGCCACCCTGTTGTTGGTATAATTTAGAAAAGCATGCTCTGTCTGGATGATCTGTGCACAGGCTCATTGTTACCAGACCCTGTCACGCACAATCACTGCTCCAGCTTGTGGCCCTCTACGGAAAGGAGCAGAGGCATGGCAGCCCTCCAGCCTGCATTCCTTTTCATTAGACAACTTGTGACCAAATGTTATAATAGAAGAGTAACCTTTTAATATTCATGTAATTAATTTACTTTCCCCTTTAATTACAAACCCTCATGTGAGAAGAAAATAAAGGGTTTTTCTTCCCTCTGTTTTGCAGGATACAGAAGGTGCAGAAAGTTTCGTTATACCTGGCTGCTGGCATTGGTGAATACAGGGAAATTCCAGATGTCCTGACACATGCGTGGGTTTTTATTCAATGCAATAATTAGTCTGGTATGTGGAATAGATTTTGAGTTGTAGCAGAACTGAGAGATTAATTTCTTTTCATCTATATGGGGAAGTTACTGAGTTAGCTTCCCCATATCAATCAATAGACTAATTCATTGACACAGAGCCATTCTTTCATATCTGAAAACACAAAATAACAGACTTCTAATTTAAACTCCCTATCAAACAGAGGTCAGTCAGTGGCTGTGTCTACACAAGACTCTGCGCAGTAGCCTCAGATGACTGTGTAGTAGCACAGCATGATGTGATGCTACTGGGCAGCAGACTCAGGCTAATGTTCAGTCACTGTCACAAAAAGGCCATTTGTAGGTGCTACTGTGAAGTAACCCAGGTTACAACATTGTCCAGCCACTGACTGACCTCTGTTTGATAGGGAGTTTAAATTAGAAGTCTGTTATTTTGTTTTTCCAAATATGAAAGAATGGCTCTGTGTCAATGAATTAGTCTATTGATTGATATGGGGAAGCTAACTGGGGAATTAGCTCCATGGTAGGACCCAGAGGGTGGTGGTTGATGGGAGCTAATCGTCTTGGTGTGCAGTCACCAGCGGGGTCCCTCAAGGCTCTGTCCTAGGGCCTATACTGTTTAACATCTTCATCAGTGATGTGGACATTGGTGTCAGATGTGGACTGGCCAAGTTTGCCGACAACACCAAACTCTGGGGTAAAGCATCCACACCTGAGGACAGAAGGGTGATCCAGGCAGATCTTGACAAGCTCACGAAATAGGCAGATGAGAACCTGATGGTGTTCAACACTGAAAAATGCAAGGTTCTCCACCTTGGGAGAAAAAACCTGCAGCATCCTTATAGGCTGAGCGGTGCTACACTGCTTAGCACTACGGATGAAAGGGACTTGGGGGTCATGATTGACCACAAGATGAACACGAGCC